CTTAAGTCTATGGAAAACCATTGAAACTTTGAACGGCCATATCTCCGTAACAGCGCGGCGAATCCGCACCAAATTCGGGGGATCACTTCAGCGCAAGGAACCCTCTCGAACGCGAATCGAGTGCAAGTCTAGAAGCCAGCTTTTTTTCCGATAGCCCCCGGGGTTCGGGAGTTACGGGTGGTTAAATTCGCGGTCCGGCGCCGACCGATCAAGCGATCCCGTGGGGCTACCGACGCGTGGAGGGTGGCGTTTGAGAGGGTTCCTCGAGCTGAAGGGATCCCCCAAATTTGGTGGAGATCCGCCGGCGCGTTCGCGAGATAGTGACAACCAGTCAACACTTTCACTTCAGTAAGGAGGTCTCTTGTTCAGGCAGCAGCATTCAAGCGTGGTCTTAATCGACCATAAGTGCCCTGCGAAGTGGACTTCACATGAAATTCCGCCATGATTCCAGTTCCAAGGGAATGTACACGTTACATTCAAAGGGCATTAAAGTGCGACAGACGTGAATTTATATTGTATTTATTTACAGAGGTATATTATGTCACACTTCTCTAGTAAGTTTCGTCTGTGTGTGAAGATAGTAGCGCAAATCCGTGAATGAATGTTCCGAAGTGAAATAAACTTCAACGGAATAAAGTTGAATGGAATTGAATTAAAGTTGAATAAACTTCAACTTTACTGTTCAGTGCACTGATGTCGGACTCATTTTGGATAATAAAGTTTATTGTTAAATGCCCTGCCTCCATTACGTATCTCTGTCACTGTTTGATCACCACATTTGAGTGATCATTGCAAAAAATTTGTTTATGTATGCACGTATGCATGTATGTATGTATGTTACTGTACTATAATATACAAAGAATATCGGCCGATATATCGATACCGTTTTTTACTCCCTAATATCGGTCCCAAAAAAACCCATATCGGTCGGGCTCTAGTTATAATTAACAGTAACAACACTGATGCTCACCATTTTGCTGAGGAGGATATCCCTGCATTCCTGGCTGTGGTGGTGGCCCTGACAGGGAAGCATTGATAGGACCAGGTGGCATGCCATGTTGTGTAGGGGGTACATGATTAGCCTGTGCCATTGGAGGCCCTTGCGATGCCATAGGAGGCCCTTGAGATGCCTGAAATGTGAAAACAGGAGATGATAGGTAAAAAGAGGAGGCTGGGAGGGAGAAATCAGACTTCGCTTGCACTCCGAAAAAGATCTTACAGACTGAACTTAAGCTCATATTAAAGTTAAAGTTTATCCATTTAGCAGACGCTTTTATCCAAAGCGACTTACAGTGCATTCAGGCTATACATTTTTTACCAGTATTTATTATATTATTAATATTATTATACATTAAATGATAATAACCTGTCATAAACACATTTCCTTAACCAGTCACAATCATTTTGTACTTTCACCCCGCTTACCTTGCGGTGGACCTTGTTGGTAGGCAGAGCCCGGCCCATTATAAGGTGCATACTGAGCCGGATATCCCGATGGCACGTGGCCACCCCCATATCCAGGCTGGGGGTAACCCTGATACCCAGGCTGAGGCTGCCCGTAAGGAGAGGCCATGTGAGGTTGCTGGTTGACATTCATTCTCAGGTCATCCCTAACTCTGAAGACAGGGCAGAAACAGGGGAAAAAAGGTGAAAAGTGAGTGAGTAAATCTATATTTATGAGGTACTGCTGTGAGAAGAGCTTAAGAGGTCTTGTTAGTCTCTCTGATGCTTTCAGGAGTCTAAAGACATGTGCCGCTGGACTGCTGGCACAGCAAAACTCCCAACTAATCATTTAAGCTCAGAGCAGCAAATGTTGTCATAAAAGAGAAATTTGCCAGAAAAGGCCGTTTCACCCTTCAAGCTGGAAAAGCTTTGGGGTTTCTAAAACCAAACAACATAAGGAAGTTGATGAGTAAAGTAAACAAATAACAGGAGTGTTTCACATTATTTTTAGAAATCAGAATCTAAAATTATTCATTCATGATTGCGAAACCCATTTAAGCACAGACCTCACCCCTGTATAAAGTGAAAAAGTGATTCCTTTTGTACTCTAGAGGAAGTATTAGTTGTAAATGTACATCTCATCTACACGTCAAATCATAAATAAAGCCTCTTGAAATAATATTCACAACTTCCATAATGTGACATTTCTTACTGAAACAATATATTTATAATTGATAAATAAATGATAAATAATAATAATGTTACAAAGGGATTTGATTTATCCAAACAAAATTGATTGGATCATGAAAAATAGGCCCCGTCAAGTTCACCCATAAGATGATCTCAACATCATAACTTAATAAATTAATGCTAATAATAGCACATTATTACACGCACACAAAACAAACATTGTTAGTAAATTTCACAATTATTACAAAGTAACAGCAATTAACACATTGAATTATACATAGAATAATCTTTATTTACAACTTCGAAACATCTGTTTTACAGAGCTTGAAACTATTTGCAGGATTTTGAAAGGCAGTATTATCTGCAAAAGTCTAAAATGACATTCAAACAGCTACTTGGCTATTAATTAGCATTAACCAACAGCCTGCATGACCTAGTAAGTATCATCAGCCAAAAATGAAAAGCTGTTTCACAATCGAGCAAGTTATTACACTGTGATTTAAAAAAAAGTTGGTCTTCAGGTGAGGCTAGGAATACGAGAAAGTAAAAATACGCATTTTTAGTTCATGTCAACTTTAAACTGTGAAATATTGAAGTATGATCTTCATTTAAAGCTGAAATTTTAGGTCTACTCTACATAGACTTAATACTATTTAAAAAGATGATGATGATACTCAACAAAAACATAACCTACATTCAAAGAAAGCACTCCTTAATAACATTCACAGCACATAACTGACGTCTGATGTATTTCGCGTTCCACACCCACCCCAAACATCTGAGACTCTTCAATTCACTAGTCCAACAGTTTATTCGAGTAACTCCTGAAGCTGCTTATATAATGGTGTTTAATAGTGTCTCCCACATATCAATTTCTCAAACATCCATGAAACAGAAGCTGACTGGACTGGAGTGGACTCAAATGACACAATTACTGCCAGCACACTTGCTTTCTTAATAACAGATGTTACGAAAACCCACAAAATGCAGATGGAAAAGTAGTTTTAACAGCAATTATGAAATATCTAGATATATATTTCTTAATAAATTTGATTTAAAACTACTACTCCTCCTCATTTCTAGCAAGTAGTATAGCAAAGAGGCGTTAGCACAACACAGCCTTGAATAATGTTGAATAATTCAAGGCAATGGATACCGTAATAGTATACAGCACCACATGTGCAATGACTTCCAGAGATAAACATGCTCATTTTCCATCTATCTGTCTGAAATGAAATTACAGGCCTGCTGGATGACCTGAATATACACAAAGGAACTCTAATGTGTCATGTACATGATCTCAACTTGGGTGACAACGTTACATGAAGGGAAACCAGCAAACCTGAGACTCAAACTCGAGTCACAAGTCTGCTGACCAAGCAACTGGTCTCATGTACTAAGGCTCAAAGACAGTGACGATCAAACAAGCAAGTGCCACTAAAAATTACATGTCCATCTATGGATTTCACCACAAAGCTTGATAGAAAAGCAGCATCCTTTTAAAAAAATGAAATGAAGGTATTGACAACCAGTCATATATAGGGGGCGTGGTTTAGAAAAAAAAAACATATGCCAGTTACCATAGTTACCCATTAATTTACTATGGGGAACACAAAAGAAAATATATTTTTAATGGGTATTCACAGAAATTTGCATTAAAGCTATTTAGTGTGTTGATTTGTAGGTGAACATCCTTTTTGAAAAACTTGAAAAATATATATATACATATTAGAATTTCCCTTTGCGCTAGAGGGGGTCTGGAAACCAGTGTCACGCTTCCACTTTCATACATACATTACAAATTTGGGAAATGTAAGCAATTGAGAGGGACATTAAATTGGTAAAACAATAAAACTAAGATGATGACATTAAGACACTCGACGTTGAAATGTCAATCAAGAAGTTGAGAGACAAAATCACAACATAGTCAAGCAGATGCACTGCAGCAACTACACATGTGCTATTAAAAGGGAATAATATACTATTAACTGAGCCATTAAGTTACATCACACACGTTAAGCTTTAATAACTGCTTTTATTTTTTAAATAACTAGTTGGCGTATGAGAACATTAAATCCACTCACTCTTCTCACCTCTTGCTAAGCTAATTTCGTTTGTTTATCGTTGCTGGCTATTAAAACAGAATCAAGAAATGACCCACCGGGTCTGCCAACACGCATCTCACCTTAATAAGCCCGTATATCGTATGAATTACAGCTAAATGTGTCACTTTCATGTATTAAATATGAATTAAAGTTATAAATGACTCGACGCTGAATGTGCTAAGCTAAGCTAACAGTGGCAGGAAAATAAATAACCAAATAAAAGAACAAATATCCAGCGCCAATTGACAGCTCACCTCATAAACAGCTCGATGAGTTAGCGAACGAGTCGTCAGAACGCCGTCCCGGTTCTAAACGCCGGTAAACGCAATGGTACTGCCGTTCTTTCACGGAAAGAAAGCAGTGAGACGGACGTTTAATCCCTTCCTCACGCGCACCGGAAGCACTGAGAATGTATGCCACGTCCACATCCGGTCATGGTGAAGCAGACGATGATGATGGAGGAGGACTTTCACTTTTTGGAAAAATAAAACGTTTTTTTTTTTTTTTTTTTTTACATAATTATCAGTAGCTTAATTGCTGCATGACCTGAAAGAACGGCTCAGTGAATTCGTCTGTAAAGAAGAGTAGGCTTTAGTGGATGCGTTAGCATACTTTTATTTTGCACTAAATCTAGCCATTAAAGATATTTGGAATATTTGCCGGTTACGCAGACTATGTTTTATTCTTCTAACTGAGCAATCCTAACTGCCTATGACCTTTAGTAAATTTCTAAATTGTCAGAATATTATCATTATTCCTCAGTATAGGTATGTGGGGTAAACAAGTGGTTTCTAAATGGCTTTTATTTTGAAGTACAGAACATCCGGTAGGCAGTGGTGCTGGTTCCACACAGCTCAGACTTTGGTGTTTCTGTTATGGACTGACAGAAACGCGGCCTGTGGAATTAACTTTTTCTCAGTCTTAGAAACACCGCCCCTGTCTGGACAGATAGTGGCGGGGATGCGGCATCGACATGGGAAATCTTTTCGGGAAAAAGAAAGCAACTCGGGTGACCGAGCAGGACAGAGCTGTGCTGGTGTGTTAGACTGCTAACTGGCTAATCATTCTAGTGAGCCTATGGGTGTAGCTTTGGATTTTGTTTCCCCTATTTATTTTACAGGTACAAGATATTGAATTTGCACAAATAGAGATGAAAGTCTTTGAAGGACTGAAAGTTGGCAATGATTGCCTGAAGAAAATGCATGAGGTACATAATGAGAAATTTATGATATTCTTGGTCATGCTTAGTACAGTCTACTGGTGAATTTAACACGCACCCCATTGCATCTCTATTCTTTTTCCTCTTAACCAGGTGCTGTCCTTAGAGGAGGTGGAGAGGATCATGGATGAAACACATGATTCCATTGAGTATCAGAAGGTAAATTGAAATTTTAACAATCAGTAAAAGTTATACGACCCTTATATAGGAATACATTCAGATATACAGCGGCATATATACAGTATATATATATATATATAACAGATATACTGTATATATATTTATTTTTTTTGCATATTTTCATTACAAATTATATTGACAAAATGACAATTTGAGTAAACAGCTGAATTAAAACATTAATGCAAAGTATTTGGCATGTCCCAAAAACATCTGACATTCTGTTCAAAGAGTTCATAATGATCAGTGATCATTTCATTAGTGCCTTTAGTAATAGTAATTTTTCTTCAGTTCATATAACTTATTTATTTTTATTACCATTCTTTTTTTGGTACACTTCCATATATAAATGAAAAAATGCCCTACACTAAAAAGAATTTTTCGAAGTTATAAATAAAACAAAGATTATTGGAGTCTGTTTACAAGAAAATATCATTTTGGTCTTTCTACTTAAAAATGTAATGTATAATTCAGTGTGTTACTTGCCATTTCTTTGTAATTATTTGTGAAATTTACTAGCAATTTCTGAGTAAAAATTGTTTCAAGAAAAAATGTTCAGTGTACTGTAGGGATGTCAGATTTTTCTTTAGATTTATATGTGCAGCACAATCTTTCACTAATCTTTATTTGAGCACATGGCAGTAAATATTTTTGACTGACACCTGCTGAATTCAAAACCACATACTAGCATGCTACTCTTATTGTTTTTACCTTATGTTACTATAGCAGGAATAGCAAGTCTAATCATTTTAAAATAATAATAATAATAAAAAATGAAAGATGAGCAGCCATAAAGGCTGTAATAATCTTTTCCAATCTACACCACATGCACTACATCCTCAAATCTAGAGGAACAGAGATCTTTCACAGACATGCTGTGTCTATTTTTGTTGCCGTTTCAATCTTGTGCGCGCTATATAGGGTTTTTTTCTCATTCCTGGTTGTCTGTGTGTGTGCAGCAAATTGATGAGATGCTGGCGGGATCTCTGACCCAGGAGGATGAGGAGGCTGTGCTAGCAGAGCTGGAGGCCATCACTCAGGTGTGTACATGAATACTCTCTGACAGCTCTTGTTACTGATGTTGTGATTTCATCTACCTTATACATGTCCTACGTGTGCTCAGGGAGAAGCTGACCTTGAACTTCCTGAGGTGCCTGAGGAGGAACTACCAGAGGTTCCAGAGCAAGAGCCAGGTCTGTGTTTTCTTCTTTTCTATTTCTGTGGTAATTACTATACATGCATTGCACAGCATGCAAATGCTAACAAAACATTTTTGTAATATTTCAGTGCGGGAGAAGGAGAGGGTGAAAAAGAAGCCAGAGCGAGAGATGTTGGCAACGTAAATACAGATTTGTCATATCTCCTTGTCTGCTCTCGAGCCGTTTCCCCTGGAGAACCCAAGGGCTCATCCCAGGCAAAACTAGGGGAGTGATTGACAGTCCTCCCTCTCATATATGTTGAAGATCTACAATCATGCCATTTTTCTAATTGTATATACACTGCATACTGTATGCCATTTAGTTTAGATGATTATTCTGAAATACTCTTTAACAGTGCCTGGTCTTTCTAATCACACTACAGTTTTGTCTGATCTTTTAATTATATATCAAAGGCGTATCATGTCAATGCCTGTAACTTTCTAATGTATGCATCACTTATATTATAACAGTCTCTGTTAAAAATGATCCCCAAACATTAGTGTTCAAATTCACCATATTTTGTCACAAAGAACACAAAACTGAAGCATTTTCATTATGAATTCCAGTATGTCCAGTATAAACTTGTACAAACTTTTCAGTGTGCTGAAAGATGTCATTAAAAACTACAACTATGACAAGCCTGGTTTAAGAAGTAAAAAACTGATTTATAGATAAAGACTAAAGAGACATCATTGAAGGAACATGCAGGTATAATATAGCAGCAATGTCAGTTTGAAGTTTACAAAACAACTAGTGTACACTTCTTATTGAGAGGAAAATAGTCAAATCCTTAATGCATTATGCTGCACACACACTGTTTTGTTTTAATGAAGCATACATAAGATACAAGGACATGATCTATACAAGCAAAACTAATGACATTTGAACATTATTTTTCTGTCATAGTTCTGTTTGTGACTAATGCACTGATTTATTTGAACTTGAGGTCTTATCAATTTTTGAAAAAAAATGTTAGCTCTGAAAACTTCTGTGAATTCACTGTTCAGCTAGTTTATGGTCTATCTTCCTTATTTCATTTTGTAGTTCTGTAACAATACATTTTATGTAATCATTTTTCATCACTGTTTGTGCCTGCAAGAAAATGAGTTCGTGTAGTGGCCACTAGGCAGCAGTGTAATGCAAACTGTGTTGGGGACAAATCTGGCAGAATGGCCAAATCAAAGGGTTTGCTTTGCTGCAGGTGGTTGTCATGCATTTCTCCAAACGGATATGTCAAATCTTAATTAAATTAGCAAAAATACATGAATGAGATCTCTTTAATATCTCGTATATTAATCCACATTATATACTACTATCGCTTAGAAGTTTAGGGGCAGTAAGATTTTTTTTAAAGAAATTATTGTTTTTTATTATTATTTAGCAAAGATGCATTAAATTAATCAAAAGTTACAGTAAATACTTTTGTTACAAAAAAATTATATTTCAAATATTTATCAAAGAATCCTTAAAAAAATATGCTGCACAGCTGTTTTCAATATTGATAATACTAAAAAAAGTAGTAGTAATAATAAAAATAAACAAATAATAAAGGATCAGGTGACACTGAAGACTGGAGTAACTTCTGCTGAAAATTCTATTCTTCCATCACAGGAATAAATTGCATTTTTAAAAATATTAAAATAGAAAATGCTTATTTTGCCTTGTAAATTGCAAAGATGCATTAAATTAATCAAAAGTTACAGTAAATACTTTTGTTACAAAAAAATTATATTTCAAATATTTATCAAAGAATCCTTAAAAAAATATGCTGCACAGCTGTTTTCAATATTGATAATACTAAATAAAAAGTAGTAGTAATAATAAAAATAAACAAATAATAAAGGATCAGGTGACACTGAAGACTGGAGTAACTTCTGCTGAAAATTCTATTCTTCCATCACAGGAATAAATTGCATTTTTAAAAATATTAAAATAGAAAATGCTTATTTTGCCTTGTAAATTTTTTTTTTTGTATTTTTACTGTATTTTAAATGAAATAAATGCAGCTTTGGTGAGCATAAGTGACTAATTAAAAAAATATTTTTGACCCCAAACATTTGAGCAATATATTTGGGATCAATGTTTATTTTTAATTACATTTCATTTAAATACTATTTGAGATTTACAGCTGCAACCCAGGTAACTGGTTACAGCGTATTTCACTAGTGTGCAGATTTTCTTGAGTAAGCCTAAGTTAAACCATTGTTTGAAAGGTATTGACCAAAAAAAAAAACAAGTACCTGTATTGCTTAGTTGGAAGTCCATTGTCTGGAACCAGCCGGTTTGAGCTGGGGCTGCTCTTATCTCGCCTGACACAAAGCACTATATGGGAGTGGGCGGCTGCCCCACGACTCTGAATGGCTCCACCAGAGCTCAATGTGAAGCAGTTTCACACTGTTACATTGTCAGACATCTGACTTTGACCAGTGAACAAGGGAGGTGTAAAGAATGTACGGTAAATACAGAAAATGAGCTTTCTAAAAAATAATAAACTGAAGATATCCTACATAATATGAGTTAGGACTCCTACAAACTGTTTTAAATCCTTCATGTTTGACTTTAAAATCTATATTCAAATATGGATCAGCTTCTAACTTCATCTAATCTGAATTAAATTACATTTCTCATCCCACATTTAAAGTAAGCTTTCCATGTTTTTACACGGAAGAGCTCAAAAGATGCTTCTCTTAATCACATCCAGCTGTTCTAAAGAGATGCTGGATTTAAATGATCTCGGTTTTGCTTTGTTGCTTTTTATTTATCCTTTACATTTGGTCTTGATAGATTCAGTAGATAAGACCTCCACTGTGATGTTAAATCAATCGATGTGGCCTCTAGACGGAAGCATCTCTAATGTTATACGCATTTGCCAGTAACCTCCATGAGTTGTGTACGTGCAGCTGGCTGAAAAAGAAACAAAGAAAGGAAATTGTCCATTGTAACAGATTGGATTTCTTGACCTTTGCAATCAAGGAGCACACAAACCATTAAATACAGTTTACTCTCTCGCTTGACCTTTAAAACAGGGGTGCTCAGTCCTGCTCTTCTGGATCTACCTTCCTGTGAAAATCAACTCTAATCGTAATCAACACAATCTAGATAATGAAGGTCTTGGGGTTCATTTGAAAATGACATGCAGGTGTGCTGGAACAGAGTTTGAACTACAATTGGAATGCTTTTTTTCATCAGAACAGCTGTAAGAGGTGGTTTCAGGGCCGTTACCATCACGTTTACACGCATAACATTTTCTGATTAAGGTTCATTGTGGTTAACTTTATGATCCTATTGAACTATTACTGCATACATGTCATTTAAAAGAAACTAGAAATGAACATTCTTTTCATGCTATACATGCTTGCTCTTGTTTATTACACTGAAAAAGTAGTAGTAATAATAAAAATAAACAAATAATAAAGGATCAGGTGACACTGAAGACTGGAGTAACTTCTGCTGAAAATTCTATTCTTCCATCACAGGAATAAATTGCATTTTTAAAAATATTAAAATAGAAAATGCTTATTTTGCCTTGTAAATTTTTTTTTGTATTTTTACTGTATTTTAAATGAAATAAATGCAGCTTTGGTGAGCATAAGTGACTAATTAAAAAAATATTTTTGACCCCAAACATTTGAGCAATATATTTGGGATCAATGTTTATTTTTAATTACATTTCATTTAAATACTATTTGAGATTTACAGCTGCAACCCAGGTAACTGGTTACAGCGTATTTCACTAGTGTGCAGATTTTCTTGAGTAAGCCTAAGTTAAACCATTGTTTGAAAGGTATTGACCAAAAAAAAAAACAAGTACCTGTATTGCTTAGTTGGAAGTCCATTGTCTGGAACCAGCCGGTTTGAGCTGGGGCTGCTCTTATCTCGCCTGACACAAAGCACTATATGGGAGTGGGCGGCTGCCCCACGACTCTGAATGGCTCCACCAGAGCTCAATGTGAAGCAGTTTCACACTGTTACATTGTCAGACATCTGACTTTGACCAGTGAACAAGGGAGGTGTAAAGAATGTACGGTAAATACAGAAAATGAGCTTTCTAAAAAATAATAAACTGAAGATATCCTACATAATATGAGTTAGGACTCCTACAAACTGTTTTAAATCCTTCATGTTTGACTTTAAAATCTATATTCAAATATGGATCAGCTTCTAACTTCATCTAATCTGAATTAAATTACATTTCTCATCCCACATTTAAAGTAAGCTTTCCATGTTTTTACACGGAAGAGCTCAAAAGATGCTTCTCTTAATCACATCCAGCTGTTCTAAAGAGATGCTGGATTTAAATGATCTCGGTTTTGCTTTGTTGCTTTTTATTTATCCTTTACATTTGGTCTTGATAGATTCAGTAGATAAGACCTCCACTGTGATGTTAAATCAATCGATGTGGCCTCTAGACGGAAGCATCTCTAATGTTATACGCATTTGCCAGTAACCTCCATGAGTTGTGTACGTGCAGCTGGCTGAAAAAGAAACAAAGAAAGGAAATTGTCCATTGTAACAGATTGGATTTCTTGACCTTTGCAATCAAGGAGCATGCAAACCATTAAATGCAGTTTACTCTGTCACTTGACCTTTAAAACAGGGAAACTGTAGAGCATGGGGGTGCTCAGTCCTGCTCTTCTGGATCTACCTTCCTGTGAAAATCAACTCTAATCGTAATCAACACAATCTAGATAATGAAGGTCTTGGGGTTCATTTGAAAATGACATGCAGGTGTGCTGGAACAGAGTTTGAACTACAATTGGAATGCTTTTTTTCATCAGAACAGCTGTAAGAGGTGTTTTCAGGGCCGTTACCATCACGTTTACACGCATAACATTTTCTGATTAAGGTTCATTGTGGTTAACTTTATGATCCTATTGAACTATTACTGCATACATGTCATTTAAAAGAAACTAGAAATGAACATTCTTTTCATGCTATACATGCTTGCTCTTGTTTATTACACTGCATTTTGGTTACTTTTGACAGCAGTCTAATCAACTAATTAATTCATTCTTCATGTCTGCAATGATAACTAATAAGACTTTTTTAATACACGTACAGACCCACGCATGAATTGCGCAGTGCCCACTACTGTACTCATCTCATCTGATCCTCCTCCAGTCCTTGGGTGATAGCTGCACCAAGAGTGATGTAGTCATGATGATGCTGGGAACACAACCATAAAGCAATGTTTCTCAAAACAACAAAATACACAATCTAACCTCTGTGATTTGTAATTCTTACATAAAAATCCACTATTAAATGTCTCTAATAGCACGTTTATAAAATATTAAGAAACCCATACACGAGGTGATGACGTTTTTCTTACTTCTTTGAATCTTTTAAGTAAAAGAATCGTTCAGATTCATTTTCATGCACTGACTTTGCATAACTGTAAACTGTCATTTACAGGTATGAATAAAAAAAATGTGTGAATAAAAGAATTCTGCATAAAAACGACTGATACACAATTCAAATGATTTTAAAATGCACCATTTTAAAATGATTCTATATTATATACGTTTATTTCAGATGTATAATTATTGTTCAATAACTGATTTAGGCTGTTACTGCTGTTTATAGCTTGATATGTAAAGTATGCCCACAAGAAGAAAATGATATACTTTCAGTAAATACTATCTGTAAATGTGTACGCACGAAAGGATAATGACTTGATTTGGTTGTTTGTAACTCGGTGGTTTTTTAATCGAATCGGTTCATTTAATGATTCAATGACTCGTTCATTGTCGGTCGTCACTCGTCACCTACTGGGCGAACAAACTAAGCGGGAGAAATTCTCAGTGAATGAATCTTTTTAGTGAACAGGAGATTCAAAGATTCAGTTCATTGAAATGAATCAAAAGCCCCCCCCCCCCACTAAAGAGTGAACTGGGTTCCGCCATACAAACATCATGATTGAGGAACAGATTGTTCTTAACTCCTCTACACAGCTTAGCGTCTCGCCAAACTTGAACCTTAAACATTATGACAACAGTATACACTGCAAGCACACGGCACAATGTTGTAGTAAGAGTAATATATTACATTTTTTGAGTAACGAGCCCAACACTGGTAGTAAATTATCATCACGCGTCCGCAGCTCTGTCACGCGAACGCTCCCATTAGAACCAGGGAAGCTCTTCCGTCGCGTCGCGTCGCGTCGCGCCGCTCGCTCGCAGCGTAGAAGGAGAAAAGGCGGAGTCCGTTAGAATGTTAGTGACGAGGATAAACGCGTACGGTGGATTCCCGCCACTCCGGCGGCTGCGCGTGGGCATCAGTGGGAGAGTTCCGT